TGTTCTGTGCTTGCTCTGGTTATGGGGGTGGGGAGGGTGGGGCCCAGAGAATGAAGCCAATGAACCCCTCCCTGACCCCCAGGAGGAGGGTAAGAGCCATGGGAGAGGAAAGAAGCGTGGGAAAAGCCCAGCTGGACGAGCCCTGGCCCCTGGAGCTGCCCCCTTTCTCTCCCCCCCCCCCATACGCAGTGGCCCATCCCATGGCCTAGGACACATGGTCCCCAAGGTCCACAATCAGCTCTCCTTCCCCTCTGGGTCCGTGGCAGCGTCCCCCGGTATGTCCGAGCTGTGTGCACACTTCTGGGGCTGCAACCTAGCCAACCAGTCAGAAAAGAGAGAGAGGTGGGCCGTCTCCCAGTGGAGAGGATGAGTGATCAGGGTCGTCCCTCGTCAGTCCTGGCCTCACCTGCATGGAGCCCCCAGGGGAGGAAGGGAGGAATGCCCAACAGGCGCATGAACAAAGACCCCTCCGGCAGCGCTCCGTGCTGGGCTAGACCGTGCTGAAGGGCCCTTGTGTCCCCTGGGGCCCGGCTGGCCAGGGAGCCACAAGCGAGCTCCCACATGGCCTCAGGATCCAGCCGGTCTACTGCTGGAGGCGAGCAGGATGGGCTCAGACAGGGCCGGGCCAGTGAGAAGCTTGGCTGGCCAGCAGCCTCTGAGAGGAGCGCGCGGGCCACCCCGCTCTCTTCCCAAGCTCATGCTCGCCAAACGAGCTTCTATTCTGTCGTCGTTCAGTCATTTCAGTCGCGTCTGACTCTTCGTGGCCCCATTTGGGGTTTTCTTCACAGAGATGCTGGAGGGGTTGGCCATTTCCTTCTCCAGCTCATGTTACCGACGAGGAAACTGAGGCAAACACAGTTAAGTGACTTGCCCAGGGTCACACAACTAGTAAGTATCTGAGGCCACATTTGAACTCAGGAGCATCAGTCTTCCTGACTCCAGGCCGAGGACTCGGTGCCCCGTGGCGCCACCTAGCGGCCCATCGATGCTGATAAGGAAGTAAAAGTGCTGTCAAAATGTAACAGTTTTTAAAGCTGCGCAATATTTTTAGATCACGATTTTAAATTATTGCACCCCCTCACTTTCAGTGTCCTGGGACGAAACGAGTCACCCCTCTTTAGTTTCGGCTCCAGGAAAGCCAATCAACATAATCACTGGAGACATACTGAAGATAATATATTCCTATTTCCATAACCTTGACAGCTCGCAAAGTCCCTTCCCCAGAACAGCCTTGTGAAGCAATGAAGATATCATTGCTCCATTTTACAGATAAGGAAACAGGCAGAGAGCCTTGCCCACAGGCACGCAGCAAGCAACACCAGGGCTGGAATCCAGGGCTTTCAACTTTGCCCTTTGCCCTTCTCCAAGCAGTCCGCCTTGCCGTGGGGCAGGGCTAAGCTGAATTTATTTTTTTGCCAAATGCTATTATGTCGGTCTTTTTGTTTGGTCTCCACAACAAGCCTGTGAGAGAGGCAGAAGAGATATGATCACCCACATTTTTCAGATGGGCTAAGACCCAGGGAGGCTGAACCACAGAGTCAGGACTAGAATCTGTCTCAGCTCAGGACAGCGGGGGGAGTGCAGGGAGAGTCGGAGAGATCGTCCACTTGGGTGATGAGATCTTGACAGGCCAGTATGGTGGGTCGACTAACGGGATGGAGTGTGATAAGAGTAAATGTAAAGCCTAACACGAGAGATCAATTAATCAATTATGCAAGGACGCAGATGGAGAGGCATGGCTAGAAAATCGTCCCTGTGGGAAAGGTCTGGGGACTTTAGTGGCCTACAAAAATGTCTTTGGAATCCGGCCTCAGACACATAACACTTACTAGCTGTGTGACCCTGGGCAAGTCACTTATCCCATTCCCCAACCCCCCCCCCCAAATATCTTTGGAATCTGAATGAGAGAGCTCCATGGTGTCCTGAACGCAATGGAGCTTACCGCCGCTGTCCTTTGCCCTGGCTAGAGCACTGTGGTCAGTTCTGGGCTTCCACTTAAAGAGGACCATTGATGAGCCTGTCCGAGGGAGCAGGATGGGGAAAGGACCAGAAGCCAAGCAGGCCATGTGAGGAGCAGCAAAAGGAGCTTGGGACACTCGTCCTGGGGATGGGGCGGGGTGGAGTGGTTGGACTTGCTCTGATTGGTCCCAGAGAGCTGAAGCAGGAACAAGGATTGGAGCTCAGAGTCCTCATAATTCCAACTTTCCCAAAGTGGGAGGGGCTGCTTTAGAGGCCAATAGGTTCTTCCCTGGGGGACTTCAGGCCGAGCCTGGATGATTCTTTGATGTTCGCCTATAGGTTAGACTAGATGGTTTCTCAGGTTCTTTCCAACTCTATGATGTGATGGTATCTCTATTCCTGGTGCCTAGCACACAGTAGGTACTTAATAAATGCTTGTCATATGAATGACTGAATAATGAAGTTGAGATTGGGTTCTGGGGGTCAGTTGATTCAGGGCTATTTCCTTCTATATACAGGGGTGAGAGCACTGAATTTGGAGTTCAGGGTCCTAGCTCAACTGAGTAGTGGTACCTGTGGAACCTTGGGCTAGTCACTTAACTTTTCTGGCAGTCTCAGTTGGCCATCTGTAAAATGGGCAGTCAGAATTCATCACTTCATGGCCAGCATCCTGGGGGTGAACTTCTCCATTCTCATTTAGAAAGCAGTCTCCAGTCTTTGACAGTTTCATCCTCCAAAACCCCTCCAAGGTGATAGAATTACCTGTGCTTGCATTCCATTGGCAGTACAGGGTCACCTCCGTGTCATGCTGAGGCATCAGAGGGGAATTTGTGGCCCAGAATTGAGCAGGAAGAAGAGAGTGGGCCAGGTGGCCTTTGGGATCTTGCAAAGCTCTTTTAATGACTACAAGCATCTTTCTGAAAGGAAGGCCTGTCTTTTTAAGGCCAGTACCCTCTGGAGGGGCAGTACAGCTTTGAGTCATGGAATGTTATGGTCTCTGAAGAGCAGAGATGTGAAAATCCACCCAAAGCAATAGAGAGGGCTGTGGCAGGTGTAAGCAGGCAGTAGCCCTCGATAACACTGAAGTATAGAAGGAAGGATTGTGGGTGTCCTCTAAGACACACGTGAGTGACAAGAAGGACAAGAGAGCCACTGGACAGATGGAGCCTTCCACTGGTTTCTTCAAGACTTCAAGAGAAAGCGTGGAAGGGCCCCAGCATTTTGAATGTGAACTTTAAGGAGGCCCGGACACAGGTTGTACAGGACGGTAAGGCATCGTTGGTGATGGGGTTAGGGCCAGAAGGGACCGTAGGGATCATCTGGCCCAGCTCCCTCATTTTACAGATGAGGAAACTGAGGACCCAGCAAGTAGAGTAGAGCACAGGCGTCACCTTAGGACAGTCAGGGATTGCAGGAAGTATTCGAGGGAATACCTAGCTGGAAGATGAGATCCAAAGAGGTCTAATCTAAAAAGATGAAATATAGATAAATGTAATGTTTGAAACTTGGGTCCAAAAAATTAACCATTCAACTACGTGACATGGGGCACATGGCTAGACAACAGTTCCCATGACACAAGATCTGACTTGCCCTAGGTCACCCAAGTAAGTTACAGAGCCAGGATTTGAAGCCAGGTTCTCTGGTATCTTTCCTGTACAAGAAGCTCCTCCATCATCTCAGAGAATACCCACAAGGAGGAGAGAGCAGCTCCAGTGAGCAGCTAGCTGATGTCTAAGTCCTGTCCTCCCAAACCCCTAAGCTGGCCCCAGTCTAAGGGAAGTGAACAATGGGACAGTAAGAACTTGGAAGGAGTGGGTGGAAATCATAGAGAAATAACTGAAAGCCCAGAAGCAAGGGCCCCAGCCAACGCCACTGGCTTCTGTTCTTACCAATTGCCATTTTGATGATAAGGAAAGCAAGGGGGGCTTACCAAAAGCAGCCTGGAGGAGTGAGTGGCGAGAGCCCTGGGCCTGTAGTTAGGAGCCCTTTTTTCCTTTGGTTCTGTTTTGTTGAGTCTGGTCTGGAAGGGTGAGAACAGGGAATCCTCTGGTGGCCAGGGCCACTTGGGTCCGCGGTCACTCCTGGACACTAGTTTACCAGCCAGGATGCTTTACACCTATGCTGCCCACACTGCCCGCTGGTGGCCATGTTGTGCCCTGGCTGGCCTATGTCTAGAATCTGACTCTTAAGGCTGCCAGAGAGGGGCCTCAGAGGGCAGGGACCAGTCCAAGACTCCTGGCCATGGGGCCATTCCACCTTGCCAGCCGTCTGCTCCTCACAGCCCGTCTGTTTTACAGGGGAGGAGACTGAAGCCCATTAATTAAAGATCCTGGACTAAAGGGAGGGATGTGTATTTGCACTGAGTCTAACTTTCCAGGAGATCTCTTCAGACTTGGGGTCAAGGAAGGCTTTAGGGGCACAAGGACTAGAGAACTTGGGGTCAAATCCTCCATCCGCTCCCGGCTATCTGGGTGACTCAGGAAGGTCACTGCCCATTGCTGAGCCTCAGTTTCCCCATCTGTCAAATGAGCTGGAGAAGGAAATGACAAACCACTCCAGGAGCTTTACCAAGAAAACCCCAAACGGGGTCACAGAGAGTGGGACACCACTGAAAAACGACGCAACAATTATCTCAATGTCATTGTTTCCTCTCTAAACACACGCACTTAATTATGGCTTCACCAGCCGCCAAAGGGGTCCATGACCCCAGAAAAGGTTAAGGGCCCCTCCTCTAGGGCCGCTGTCTCATTTTACAGATGAGTAAACTGAGGTCCAGAGAGGCCGGACCAATAAGGGTGAGAGCCTAGGGAAGGGGGAGCACCCCACTGGAAAGACAAGGCTTGGGGATCCCTGCGGGGAGCCAGCCGCCCGAGCCAATCCCCAGTAGCCTCAGCAGCACGTGCGGGAGGAGGCGGAGGAAGGGGGAGGAGGGTGGGGCCGGGACGAGGACCTCCGCGCTCATTGGTCCCTGGCTGTGCCGGTCACGACGAGGGTGGACACTGATTGGGCGTTGGGGGCGGGCGTTGCGAAGCCCCAATGAATGGGCAGCCGGAAGCAGGAAGTGAGTGAGAGAGTGAGACAGAGAAGCAGCTGGTGCAGGTGAGGGCGCCCCGTGGGGGGCTGAGGGCGGGGCGGGGGGAGAGGGTGCGGAGGGGGGTGCTAGGGACCCCCCTCGGACCCCAGCCAGGATCTCCTAGCCCTGGAAGGGCCCCGATCGGAACGGAGCCGGGGGCGCCCCGTGTGGCGACAGGTGACAAAAAATGCAACCGCCCCGGGCACTTGCAGGAGCCCCGCCCCCACTCCCCACCCAGGGAAACTGAGGCCCAGGGGCAGGGCTAGGACTTGAGCCTAGCGGGTCCCTCCAAGTCACTGTATGTACCAGGGCATCGGGAAAGAAGGAATCTTGAGAGCTTCAGAGAGGGCAGTGATTCGATTGGCGAGCGTCTATCAAGCGCCAACTGTGTGCCCGGCCTGCCTACCATCCGATGAATGGAATAGTCTCTGCCCTCAGGGAGTTTACAGTCAACAGTTTACAGGGGAGGGGTGGGATGTGGACAAGAAGGGAGGGGGATCAGAGGAGGAAGGGACGGGGCTTTAAGGTCCCTCCATTTCTTGGCCAATCAGCCTACCGTGGGGGCTGCACGCAGGGCCCATGCCAGACCCCGGGGAAGACGCTGGAGGCTTTGCCCTCCTGGCGCCAACATTCTGGTCAGAAGTGAAAGGTTCGCCTACTGGCGGGGGAGATCAGGATGGCTTCCCCCATCTTACAGAGGACAACGTGGGCTTGGAGACTGTAGAGCCCAGTAAGGAGAAGTGAGTCTGGCTCAGGGAGTGGGAGGGGGAATCTCAGGGCAGACTGGAGGATAGCCAGGAGGCCTTGGCTCCCCCCCTCTACAGGACAAATGGCCTCTCACCCCAGGGGTCACGTCCTGGGTCTGACAGGGAGGGGGCCCCACCACAGGATAGTCCAGCCCCTATCCCAAAGGAGCCCCTGTTACAACCACAACATGAGAGTGGCCACCTGCGTGCAGCGCCTGCCTTGAGGTTTGCAAAGTGCATTACAGCCCCCCCCACCCCCCAGGGGATGTTATCCCCTTTTACAGATGAAGAAACTGAGGCAGCTGGCAGTTCCGTGACTTGCCAGGTGTCACACAACATTCCTGACAAGTGGCCTCCCCAGGCACCTCGGTCCACTAATTCTGAGGCAGTTTTTCCTCACGTTCGACCAAAATTCATGTCCTTGGAACTTTCCTACATAGACATGTCCCCATGTGTACCACTCCCTCCTCATGCGTGCAGTACCTCCCCTCCTCTGGCTCCTGGAATCCCTTGTTCCCTTCAAGGCTAAGCCTTCTTACCCTTCGCATCATGTTGTATGTGATTTATGTGGACGTGAACGCAGGCGTATGTGTGTGTGTGTGTGTGTGTGTGTGTGTGTGCTCGCGCGCGTGCCCATTCTCCAGAATGGTCTCTGGCCTCACAGGGCCTGGCCCAGAGCAGACCCCTAATGAATGCTTTGCTGACTCATTTCTGTCCCCTCCTCACTTTGGCAGCCACGATGGCAGACCCCCAGTACATCCTCCCCAATGACATTGGTGTGGCCAGCCTCGACTGCCGCGAAGCCTTTGGACTGCTGTCCCCTATGGAGCGGCTCTACGCGCACCATTTGTCCCGGGCCGCTTGGTACGGGGGTCTGGTTGTGTTACTTCAGACTTCTCCCGAGGCCCCCCACATCTACACTCTCCTCAGCCGCCTCTTCCGTGCCCAGGATCCCGAGCAGCTCAAAGAGTGTGCCCTGAAGGAGGGTTTCACAGAGGATGAATATCAGGTGTGTCCTATGGCTTAGTCACCCCAGACCCTGAGTCCTTGCCGTCCCCCCCACATACACACGCGCACGCACACACGCACACACGCAGCCCTGCCTTCCTCTAAAGCACTGGAGGCCTAGGGGTGCTCTGGGCTGACCACCACAGCCCGAGTGGACCCCGCACTCCTGGCCCTCGTCTCTGACCTGCTTCCCTGCCCCCTCAGGCTTTCCTGGTCTATGCCGCAGGGATCTATGCCAACATGGGGAACTACAAGTCTTTTGGGGACACCAAGTTCATCCCCAATTTGCCCAAGGTGAGGCAGGAAGTGGAGAGGGACAGAGGGGCTGATGGGAGCTATCTGGGGCTCATGGTGTTACTTGGGGGCCAGAGGAGGGGAAGACGGGGGGCAGATTGGGAGATACCCAGTCCTGGCTTCTGGGACGTGACTGTGAGCGTGCAGGCCTGAATCTGAGCCCCTTTCTTCCCCCACCCCACCCCCTTCGGTGCAGGAGAAGCTGGAACGATTAGTGTTGGGGAGCCAGGCCGCCCGAGAGCATCCAGAAGAGATTGGGGGGCTCTGGCAGGTCTGTGGGAACCTCATGTTCTCTCTGGAGCCCCAGCAGCGCCATCTGGGCCTGGGAAGTGAGGTGAGAGCCTGGGACTGGAGAGACGCCATTGGACTGAGAGCCAGCAGGCCTGGGTTCATGCCTGTGTGTGTGTGTTTGCGCTCGTGCGTGTGCATGTATGCATGTGTGTGTACGTGTGCACACGTGCGTGTCTACCAGAGAGGCAGTGTCTAGCTAGCACGAGACATCACAATGCGGTGGGAGAGCTGAGGATGGCAGTCCAGCCGTGGTCTCCATCTCTGGCAGAAGAGGGGGGTGGGCGAGGTCAGGGGCACCCTCTGGCTTGTGTCCTGGACCATTGGGGGGAGCCTGGGGGCCCCCCTCAGTGTCTCCTCAGTGCTCACATTGATCATCAGAGGAAATGCTTGCTTTCTCTAGAGGTGAGTGAGAACAAAGATGTTGAGTGTTTGTGGGGTCCAGGTTCAGGTCTCCTGGACCAGATGGTCTCCAGGGTCCAGAACTCCAGAATTCTCACTACTTCTATGGGACAGTGGGACGGGACGGGACGGGAGGCCAGCAGGGGATGCCTTCCTTCCTTCCTGAAACCTTCTGTGGGTGGGAGCCAATGGGGGAGGGGGTGAGAATGAGGATGTACAGGGCGGGGTCCATGAGCAGGACCAGAGGACCAGGGGAACTGGAGAATTGGGTCGAAGAAGGCCAGGCTTGGAGAGGAAAGCGGCCACAGCTCCAGGGTCACTGAATGGGACTTGGAAAGAGGAGGATCTGAGTTCAAATCTTGCCTCTGACATTAGATGCATGACTGTGGGCAAAACCCTTAACTTGCAGAGCCTCATTTTCCTCGTCTGTCTCCAGTCCTCTGAAGCTGGGGGCGTCAGGAAGGCTCAGATATAAGAGGTGGTGTTTGAGGTGCGCTCTGAAGGGAAGTGGGAATTCTGGGTGATGGGGTGAAGGAGACCCTTCCCAGGCCCGGGGGACAAAGGCACAGAGGTGGGAGACGGAGGGTTTCGAGTAAGGGGTTCCAGGGCCAGTTTGGCCAGAATGGTGAGAGCATGAAGGGCAGTGCCAGGCTGGGAAGGGCCTTTGCCCCATCACACCCACTCTCTACAGTCCTGCCAAACTGAACTCATCCCGCCCCTGCTCACGCCACCTGTCCACCACACCCGGAACATCTCTCCTCACGTGCCTTTGCCTGGGGACAGTCCGGGGCCCGCCCCCTCCACGATCCTCCCTGAGCTCATTGTAGGGTATTTGAGGGTGGGGCTGGGCACCCCTGACTCCCAGGTCAAACTTTGGAGGGTTATTGTGAGGCCCGAGGCCTTCCGTGCCCTTCAATCCCCTGGAATGTCAGCGCCACAATCACTGAGGGCCCCTGGGGAGCCCCTGCCTGTGGCTCACGGCAGCTGTGGGCGCCTGGGCAGGCACCTCCCCCTTGGAGCGCCTATGCTGCTCCTGACGTGGGCAAGGCCCAGATGGGGCTGGTGCCACTGCAGCGTTTTGGATAAAGCGGGGGAGCGTGATCAGACCTGTACTTTAGGAAGATCGCTTTCCCATTTCCCCCAGTGTCTCATCACAGCAGGATGGGGGGCCTGGGCTCTCTACCACGTTCATCTCTAGCCTCCGTATCTTTGCCTGGGCTGGTCCCCTTCCTCCCTAGTTTCCTTCAAAGCTCAGCTGAGGTGCTCCCTCCTACAGGATGCCGTTTCTGATCCCCCAGGTTGTTGACCCTCCTCAAACGACCTTCTGTTTCCTTGCCTGTGCCCCTGTACCCCCCCCCCCCCGGCAGAGTGTTAGCTCCTCCTGGGCAGGGACGTTTTCTTGTCCTTGGGGCTGCAGCACCTAACATGGCCTCTCAGCTATAGGAGGCCCTTCATAGGAATTGCTGTTGATGACGGGCTTTCTTCCCCAACAGGGTACCACCACATATTTCTCTGAGAATTGTACCTTGGAAGATGCCAAGCTGGCCCAGAGCTTCTTGGATTCCCAGGTGGGAGGCCTGGGAGGGCGGATGCCCAGACTGTGGGTGTGGGTACGTGGGGGCCTCTTCCTCCCTCTCTGCAGACGCTCACCTCCTGCTGTCTTCCAGAATCTCAGTGCCTACAACACAAGGCTGTTCAAGGGGACGGACGCAGACGGGAAGCCGTGCTTTGAGGTGCGCCTGGCCTCTATCCTCCGAGAAGGTGAGCCGAGAGGCAGCCTAGGGCATGGGGCGGGGCTCTGGGAAGCTGGCCCTTGGAGCAGAGACTGCTTCGTCTTGGCCTGGGAGTTCAGGCCCAAGAGTAATGGGGGGTGTTGCCAAGAGGAGGATGGAGGCCCAGGGCTGGGCTGGCCCAGCAGGGAAGGGGCTGCCTGGGGGTGCCCCTGCCCACCTTCCCAGCTTTCTTCCATGTGATTACCCCTTTCATTCTGTAGTCTGGCCCGGCTGGTATTCCCCACATACAGTTGACCCTTCATCTCCTACCGCCTTTCCTTTGCCCTGGCTGTCAAGCAGCCCCCTCAGCAGGAGGCCTCTCCCAGTCCCTTCCCCCGCGGGCTGGTGCCTCCCCCTAAGATTACCGTGCACTTGTGTACTGTGGGCTCAGAATGTCCACGTGAATATGCTTGCACTTCCTCCCCTAGTAGAAAGTCAGCCCCTTGAGGACAGGCCTGTTTTGATTTTATCCCTGTGTCCTGAACACTAACGGGTGAAAAAGCGCTCAATATATCCCAAGCCCGGTGCTGACGGTTCACCAGCTTCCTGCCTCCGGTCTCTTGCCCCTCGCCTCACCGAGCCCCCTGGGCTTCTCCAGTCACCCTTCTGGGAAGGGGGGTGTCCCTGGGTTCCCTGCGAGCTCCATGAGGGCAGGGACCTAGTACCAGCCCTGCACCCAGTAGGTGCTTTATTCCTATTTGCTGTCTTCCTGTTCCCCATAGAGATCACCCCAGACTCAGACATGGTGCCGAAGCTGAAGAGCTACGACTTTGAGGGCTGCCGGTTCCAGGTGACCCGGGGAGATTACTCGCCCCTCCTCCAGAAGGTGGTGGAGCACCTGGAAAAGGCCAAGGTAGAGTCCCGTTGGGGCGGGAGGGGGTGAGGCAGCTCCCAGGAGACGGGCGGGACCCCTCTTGCCTTGTTCCCCAACAGGCCTACGCAGCCAACAGCCACCAGGAGCAGATGCTGAGCCAGTACGTCGAGAGCTTCACGGAGGGCTCCATTGAGGCCCACAAGAAGGGCTCTAGACACTGGATTCAGGACAAGGGCCCCATCGTGGAGAGGTGAGAGGGCCATGGGTCCCTGGACTCCCCGGCACCCATCCTGCCCGCCCCACGGGCTCCATCACTGCCCTTCTCTCCCCAGCTACATTGGCTTCATCGAGAGTTACCGAGACCCCTTCGGCTCCCGGGGAGAGTTTGAAGGTATCTTCTGTACCAGGAATGGGGTCCTAAGCTCAGAGGTCTAGAGCCGGGGGGTCCTTTGGGCCACCCTGCCGACAAGTGTCCCAGACCAGGCACCGGGCCCCTCGCTGAGCACCAGGGACACAAAGGAAGGCTGAAGCATGTCCTGTCCTCAGGGAGCTCTCAGTCCATTTGGGGAGGGGGGTGCTGGCAAACCCCTCTCATAGTGGTAGGCACTGAGGGGGTCATCCTGGGGCCACAGGGTCAGCTCAGGCCTTGGGAATGGGAGCTTTCCTGAGTCAGCCAGGCCCTGCCTCCAGGATGAGCACTCTTCCTGCTCTGCCCCTCACCTACCCCACTGAGGGCCCCTTATCCATCCCAGGGAGCACAGCTGCCTGGACAGTGGGCTGGTGAGGGAGTGGTGAGGGGCAGGGCTTCCAGCCCTCCCTTCCTGGGCCCTCAGGGTTTGTCGCTGTGGTGAACAAGTCCATGAGTGCCAAGTTTGAGTGCCTGGTGGAGAGCGCTGAGCAGCTGCTGAAAGAGCTGCCCTGGCCCCCGGCTTTTGAGAAGGACAGATTCCTCACCCCCGACTTCACCTCCCTCGATGTCCTCACCTTTGCGGGCTCCGGGATCCCTGCTGGCATCAACATCCCCAACTGTGAGTAATCCCCTGGGGAGGACGTCCCTCCCTGGCATCGCTGGCCCCCGGAGAAGGGGAGCCCTGGGGGGAGGGGAGGCGTGGGGACACAGGAAACCTAGGGGAGGAGCAGGGGGCACCAAAGCCCCGGGCCTGTTCCTGGCTCTGATGCCCACCTGGTGGGACCCTGCCTGGGCCAGCTGCTTGAGCTCTGGGCCTCTGCTTCCTGGGCTGGCACTCTCAGTCTGTGCCTTTGCGTCCCCCGTACCTAGAGCCTTGTGTTGCTCTATGACCTTTTCTTGCTGTGCTCCCAGCCCCCCACTTGCTCCCGAGCTCAGGGACTGCCCTGCCTTCACCTTTGTTCCCCCAGCACCTGTCCCACAGTTGGTGCTCCCCCCCTCCCCCTCTCCTCCCACTTCCCTTCTCTTCCCCTCTCCCCATCCCGAGCTGCTGCCTTCTCTAGATGATGATCTCCGGCAGCAGGAGGGCTTCAAGAACGTGTCTCTGGGCAACGTGCTGGCCGTGGCCTACACCACCCAGCGCGAAAAGCTCACCTTCCTAGAAGAAGAGGACAAGGTGAGGGAGGGTGGCCATGGGGGGCAGGGCAGGGAGTGGGGGGGGCACTGGGGGACCTGACCCTCCGCCTCTGTAGGACCTCTACATCCGCTGGAAAGGGCCATCCTTTGAGGTCCAGGTGGGGCTGCATGAGCTGCTGGGCCATGGTAGCGGGAAGCTCTTTATACAGGTGAGGAGCTGGTGCCTTGGGCCGGAGCAGACAACCCTGGGCACTCAGGGGGTCAGGGGTGTCATGTATGTGGGTACTCCCTCCACAAGTGCAGTAGCAGGCCATCTCCCCCTTCTTATTTTGTGTGATTTCCTGTCCTGTAAACCCCAAGACAGGTCGTGTCTGATGTCCCAGGGGGTTCAGCCCCCAAAGGTTAGCCACCCAATGATTTTGCCTGTGAGGGTGAGCCAGGGAAAAGCCACAATGGCCCTCTGTCCCACCTGCTTCCCTTGTGCCTCTGTGGTGAAGGTGGTGGAGAGGCAGGAGATCAGGTCACAAGTGCCTAGAAAAAGGCAGAGTCTGGAAAAGTCATGAGAGATGGAGGTGGGGGGCTACAACAGGTTAGGAGTGTCGCGTACAGTCTTTGGGCTTGCTGGCTCTGCTTAGCTGTTTTTGTTTGTTTCAAGGGAGGATGAGTGTGACAGAAAAACCAAAATTTCACAATAGAACTTATTTAGGAAAAAGGGAGGGAGTGGAAGGCACCCAGAGCCTGTCCTGCAGGCCTTGGATTTGGGACACAGGACATCCCTGGGTGTGGGGATCCCCCCCTTCTGTTCAATGGCTTTTCCTGCAGGATGAGAAAGGAGCTTTCAACTTTGACCAGAATACTGTGACCAACCCAGAAACGGGGGAGCAGGTGAGAGCCAGGCAGTGGGGAGGGTGATAGGAGAGGGGTTACCTGGAGACCCGAGGGAAGAGGATGTTGGGGAATCGTGCAGGGAAATCAGAGAGGGGGGAGCAGCTGGGCAGGGTTGCCAGGTAACCAGCTGCCTGCGCCATCCCTTGCCCCACACCAGATCAGGAACTGGTACCGGAGTGGAGAGACATGGGACAGCAGATTCAGTACCATCGCGTCCAGTTACGAGGAGTGCCGGGCTGAGAGCGTGGGGCTCTATCTCTGTCTCCACCCACGTGTCCTGGAGTAAGGATAAGCTGGAGCAGGCCTGGAAGGGACATGGGCCAGAGGCAGGGCCAGGGGGCTCTGGGAACCCCTAAGCCCTCACACGCTTCCCCCAGGATCTTTGGGCTAGACGGTCCTGAGGCTGAGGACGTGGTGTATGTGAACTGGCTGAACATGGTGCGCGCGGGGCTGCTCGGCCTAGAATTCTACACCCCAGAAACATCCAGCTGGAGACAGGTAGGGAGGGCTGTGAATGTGTGTGTGTGGTAAGGTGTGTATTGTATGTGCGTGTAAGAGTGAGTGTGTATGGTGGGGTGTTAGTGTAAATGTGTTCATCGGAGTGTGTGTATTGTGGGGCATGTAAATATGTGTGAATGTGTGGGCAGGTGTGGTGGGAATCGGGACACGATGGCTTTAGACCAGGCCAACACCTGGGAATATGGGCGATGGGTGGCCCTGAGGGGTGGGGGGAAGGAGGGTGGGCATGCGTGAGAACCATTGGTCCGGGGCCGTGGCCGCCTCATTGAGCTCCCCGCCTGAGGCTGCCCACATGCTCTACCCCTCCGTGGTCTCAGCCACCCCTCTACCCCATCTGTTCCTGCCCCTTGTGGCCCAGGCTGATGGAGAGAAGGTGGGGGAGAAGAGGAGAGAGTGGGCCCCTTGTCAGAGGCCTGAACAGAATCCTCGTTGCTGCAGGCGCACATGCAGGCCCGCTTTGTGATCCTGAGGGTCCTGCTGGAAGCCGGGCAGGGACTGGTCACAGTCGTCCCCACCACTGGCTCCGACGGGCGCCCAGATGCCCGGGTCCGTCTGGATCGGCACAAGATCCACTCAGTTGGCAAGCCTGCCCTGGAGCGGTTCCTGCGGCGCCTCCAGGTAAGCAAAGGCCCTCTCTGCTCTCTGCACATCTGTGTCCCCCTTCTCTTCCATTCTCTTCCCTCCTCTCTGCTCTTTGCCCATCACCTAATCCTTGAGCCAGAGGCCCCCAGAAGGGAGGAGAAGGCGCCAGCCTGAGCCGCGTGGCCGGGCTGACTTGGGCCCCCGATGCAGAGGGTCTGCTCCCTCCAAGCCTTCTCAGGCTTTCTTCAGATACGGGTCACCATCTCATCTCCCTCTTTCACACCTTTACCCAGGCTGTCCCCTTAGCCTGGAATGCCCTCCCTCCTCCCCTTTGCCCCTCAGAATCCCCAGGATTGGCTCAAGCTCTGCCTAGCTGCCAGGGGCCTCCCCCCCAGTCACCTGGCATCTGTTTTGTGGTACGGACAGTGTTGTCTTGTGTTCCCAGCACTTCCCACAGTGCCTGGTACAGGTTGGTGCTTAATAAATGCTCATTGCTGGATTGATGGGAGAATTGAAAAGGCCTCTTTGGAGACTCACTCCCCTAATCTGCACCTCAGTTTCCTCATTTGTAAACTGAGGCCAGATGATCCCTGATACCTTCCCCTCCCTTGCCCAGGTGCTGAAATCAACAGGAGATGTGGCCGCTGGGCGGGCGCTGTACCAGGGGTACTCCGCCGTCACTGATGCTGCCCCTGAAAACTTCCTTGCCCTCCGGGAGACAGTGCTGTTGCGGAAGGAGGCCCGCAAGCTTATTGTGCAGCCCAATACGTGCCTCGAAGGTAGCCCCCCCCCTTCCTGACTCCCCAAAGTTCAGGCTCTGCCCCAGGTCGCGAATGTCAGGTGCCTGAGGCCCAGGTGGGCTACCAGGGGTTAGTATTTGGAGCATGACTTCTTGGGCTACAGAGCCCAGAGGGTTGGGGGTGCTGGACACCAAGGTCAGGGGAACAGCTGGGCAATGGCTTGTGTAGAACCCCGGGGTTATTGAGTGCTTGGTAACTTTGGATGGAGGGAGAGAGGGAGGTGTGGATGCCTGGATGGGTGGACACTCCTCTGGAGCCTTCCCCGAGGACGGCCGTGCTAGAGGAGGTGCCCGCTGGGCTGGCCAAGGCCAATGCCATTGCCCTTCTGCAGGGGCCCCCAAGGCCTGTATAGATGGAGCCCACACAGGAGAATCCCCTTCCTCTGGTGCCATCCCATGGCCCCTCGATTGTAGACACTGCCCTTCCCCCACAAGTGATGGCCCACTGCCACCCTCCTTGCTTAAGCTGATGCCGACGGGCACATGCCCGGGGTTATAGTCCAGAAGCACCTGCCCACAGGGTTCACAGGCCGATAGAACAAGAGCCGAGGGGACCCGGGAGGCCACCTGTCCTTCCACCAATCCGGAAGCTGAGGCCCGGACAGCCGATGGAGTCGGGTTTGCCCAGGGTCACACAGCTAGCCAGTATCCCAGTGAGGATTTGAACCCAAGGCTTCCTGTCAGGTCCAGGACCCTTTCTGCTCTATGTCAGGAGGAAGGCATGGGTGTCCTGCTCCTGAGGCTTCGTGGGGCTGGGTGCGAGGCAGCGGTCTGTGCTCCACTGAGGGCCTCTGCTCTTTCCATAGGCTCCCAGGTGCAGCTCCGTGAGTATGATGCCTCGGCCGCCGGCCTTATCCGCTCCTTCGTGGAACGCTTCCCTGAGGATGGGCCCAAGCTCGAGGAGCTGCTCACTGGGCTGGCCAAGGCTGATGCCCACTTCTGGAGGGGCCCCAAAGAAGTCCCGGCCCTCCAGGCCTGAAGAAGATCCTAAGCAGCTCTCCTCACTTGAGCCCCTCCCCACCCCCCTCCCTCCCTCTTTCCCTCTCTCGGTTGGGGTTTGAGGAGGGACGTGGGCTGGGCCTCCTGCCCCGAATATCAAGTTTGTGCCCAGCGGCAGGGCGGGGGTGGCTGCAGAGCTGACAGCCATCCATTACCCCCTCCGTCTCCACGTGAGGATCAGCCAGAGCGGCCCGTGATGGTGGCCAGTACATCTTGGACGCTCAGTAGCTGTCCAGGGACCCTGGGCCAGATCCCTTCTCTCAGAGCCAGTTTCCTCTTCTGTTCAGGGATGGTTCCACCCTGCCTACCTGCCTACCTCTCACAGGGTTGTTGTGAGGAAAGTGGTTTATAACCTTTAAAGAGCTTTTGAAACGGGGGCACTGACAGTCCAGCTTCCTTTCCCCCATATATGGGCCTTGGGGGCCACAGCATCCTGTGGTTTGAGGCAGGGGGGCCACGGCATCCTGTGGTTTGGGGCAGGGGGGCCACGGTATCCTGTAGTTTGGGCCCTGGGGGCCATGGCATCCTGTGGTTGGGGGGGGGGACACGGGATGCCTCCAAGTGTAACCAGTGATTCTTAAGGGGGGTGGGGGAAGCACAGGACTTTGAGATGGCAGGGACTTTGGGATGTCGAAGATGGAATGTCAGAACTGGAAGGTCAAGTCACTGAGCATTTATTAAGCACCTGCTCTGTGCCAGGCACTGTGCTCAGATCCAGAGATACAGAGAAAGGCAAAGGACAGTCCCTGCCCTCAAGGAGCTCCCAGTCTATCAGGGGAGACAGCAGGCCATCGAGTACATACAGACAAGCTGTGTCCAGGAGAAACGAGATAATCAACAGCAGGAAGGCTCTGGGATTAAAGGGGAATCAGGAAAGGCGTCTGGGGGAGAAATTTTAGCCGAGAAGTGAAGGAGGCTGGGAGATGACCATGAGGAGGTGGGCAATTCCAAGCGTGGGGAATACTTGCTCATAAAACTTCCCGGAGCTGGGAGCTGGAGTCTCCTGAAGATGGCCAGGAAGCCAGTGTAACTGCACAGAAAACTGGGAGGAAGGGAGTCCATCTGGTGTGGAGACTAGAAAGGGGGGCCGGCTAAGGCTAAGCAAAGGGTTGACCTTGGATCCTAGAGGGCACAGCTGAGAAGGGCCTAAGGCTTAGAACGTAGGACGGCGGAGCTGAGAGGGGCCTAAGGCTTAGAACACAGGATGTCAGAGCTGAGGAAGGCCGTGAACCTAGAGCACGGAATGGCGTGCAGAACCGAGACGTAGTACTTGCATGGTCGGCGCTCACAGGATGGTTAAGAGCCGCCTTCAAACACGGAGACACCTCACGGAGCCCAGGACGCAGACCACCTGTCAAGCGCCCAAGAAAACAATTTCTGCGCTAAACAAAACGCTCAGGAGGAGTGGCCTGGAGAAGGCTGGCGCAGGCGCGTTCCTGGCGGGCCAGGCGGCTCTGCGGCTGCGCAGAGCGGTCTAAGTAGTTCCGCCCGGAACCTTGGTGCTTGGTGCCCGGAACCTGGCGCCGACGGACTGCTTAGGGTGGGCGCCGGGGCGGGACGGGGAGGATGCGCCCGTTGTCCGGGGTTACGGTGGATAAGATGGCGGCGAGCGGGGACTGTGCGGGCGGCCGCAGCGAGAGGTGACCCCCCCCCACCCTGACCGCCTGCCCCTGAACCCCGCCCCTCTGGCTGGGGGGGAGGAGCGACGGGCTCTCCCCTCCCCGGCCCCGCCCCCGCTTGATACCGTTAGATTCTGCGGGAGGGGAGGGGAAGGGAAGGGAGGGAGGCGGGCAGCGCGGGGCCAAGTCCCTCCGACGCTGGCTGGGGACTCAGTTTCCTCATCTGTCAAATGAGCTATGGAGTAGGAGCACGTCCCTCCCGGGGGTGCTGTGGGAATCAGTGCCGGCTTAGGACTGTTACATTGTAGCGACGTGAGCTGTTGGAGATGGGACCGGGGCGCCTAGAACATTAACAGCGTAGCCACGAGAACCCTCTACGTGCCAGAGGTGGAACGTGGGCCCCTAGAACGTTAGCAGTGTTGGTCAGAACACCAGAAGCAGGGCATTTGTTGGAGCCTTAGAAACTTAGAACGTTAGTGTGGAAAGTTCTAGGGCCAAAACGTAGAGCCGCAGAGGCTCTCTCAGAGGTCTCCTAACCCTAGTCTGCACTGCCCTTCACCCGTCCTCCACGTGATGAATCCCACCAGCTTCCTACCCCTTATTGGCTCTCTCCTTCCCAGCCATAAGTACACACTGCACCTTGGCCAGTCTCAGTCCCTACCTCTGCCTCCTCCCAGTGATGCTCCCCTACCACCCACCCACCCCACGTTTTGGGTTTAGGGTCCTTTCCCTCCCTGCCATGAGAACCCCTTCCATCCTTCCTCTCTCTAGTACTGAAGTCAATTCCAAATGGCTGGACGCCCATTATGACCCCATGGCTAACATCCACACTTTCTCTGCGTGCCTTGGTGAGTTTCTCTGTGCTTGCTTTAGGCAGCCCTGGGAAAGGGGGCAGAAGGGCACCCTAGCACGGCTCTGGGGCTTTGCCCTTCTCAGCCTGCCCGTGTGACATCTCTCCCCTCCCCCCATCCTTATGAGCCACTCTGTGTTTTCTAGCACTTGCGGACCTCCATGGGGATGGCGAGTACAAGGTGAGAGCTGTTGGGAGGGCCCAGCGCCCAGCCTCCAGCTTCCCGCTTGCTTAATATGCATCTGCCAGATGCGGGCATAGCCCCAGGCTCCTTGGAAGGCACTGAAGAAGCTGCCAGAACTTGAGGGGAATCAGGGCCCCGGCTGTAGACTGGCTTGTACAGAATCACTGGAATGGCAGAACTTTAGCGCAGGAAGGGAGCTCGGCAGTCATTTAGTCTAGGCCCTTCAGTTCCCAACAATGGAAGCTAGATTTGCCCCTGTCACAGCGGGGTGAACCTGGGTCACAGAATTGAGAACCGTTAGGCTCTGACCCTGCAGGGGTCATTGAATTTAGAGAAGCCAGGCCTTCTGACTTGCTCAGGGTTTCATGGGGCAGGGGACTGGAGGGGATTTCCTTAAGGACGATTCCCTCCCCTTGTGGGTAAAAAGTCCATTAAGCTCTGAAGCACACTTCCCTCCCCCCCCCATAGCACCTATTGGAGCCGCTGGGTCCGTGCAAAGCCTTGAAGGGGGCCTGAGTGAGTGAGTGAATGAAAAAGCATTGATCAAACCCTGTGCTAAGGAAATAGAGAAGTGAGCCAGCACCCGTCCTTAAGGGGCTCCCGCTGTGCCAGGGAGATAACACAGAGAGAAGGTTTCAGCTGCTGGGTGAGGTAGAAAGCATGTTTATTACTTGGCCCTTTTCCTCATAGCTGGTAGTGGGGGACCTGGGTCCTAACGGTCGGCAGCCTCGACTAAAGGTACTCAAGGGACCATCGGTGCTGACTGAGAGCCCACTGCCTGCCCTGCCATCGGCTGCCGCTGCTTTTCTCATGGAGCCCCATGAGCCTCGGACCCCAGCGTTGGCACTGGCCTCCGGCCCCTGTGTGTACGTCTACAAGAACCTTCGGCCCTACTTCAAATTCAGCTTGCCCCCCCTGCCTCCTAACCCCCTGGAGCAGGATCTCTGGAACCAAGCCAAGGAGGTGGGCACAGACAGGGGCAGCAGCTGGACTGGTGGTGCTGGTGGTGGAAGGGTGGCAGAGAAAGTCCAGAAGGAAATGAAAAAAGAAACATTATAGCTCTGGGCTGGAAAGGGAGCTGGGACTGATGGAGGGAGGGGATCCCAGCTCAGGTGCCCCTTGGCATCTGATTCCAAGCCTCATGCTAAGCCAACAACTGAAATAGTCCCTGCCCTCCAGGAGCTGATGGTGCGTGCACATGCATGTTTGTGCGTGTGTGCGCGTGCATGCGCCTATTGAGGGGGCATTTGTACCTGGGTATGACAGTAAGCATCAGAGGGGGCCCTCTGAAGCAGAGGCCAGAGCATCCTTTTCAGGTTTCTCTGTCCTAATAGCAGAGGTGCCCTCTTTCTCCCCTCCATCCACAGTGCTCTACTCCACAGCTGACTCTGGTTGCCTTGGTTTTTCTCACTTATGCTCACATGGCCCACCTTGTCCGGCAGCATAGCTGTCGAGGGGGGCATGGTAGGGGCTTGGTTTTGCCCCTTGGAGAGCTAAGGGACACCAGCCGGCCCTTAGCCCAGTTCTAGGGTGGAGGTGTTAGGAAAGGGGAGAAAGTTTGTGCATCTTGAGGGAAGTGAGGGCTTTGGATGGAAAAAGTGGAGTTACAGAGAGGGATGAGAGGAAGAGGGGCTGTAAAGGAGGAGGATAGGCTCCTGGATGGGGCAGGGCCATGGTCTGGGAAGGCCTGGGGTAGAGCAGGGTAGAGTGCTGCGGGACAGAAGGGCTGCATTGCACTGTGGGAGCTGGGCCGGCTGCTGAGAGATCGGCCCTGAGCCACGGAGTCTCCTCCCTTTGGCAGGACCGGATTGACCCTTTGACCCTTAAGGAGATGCTGGAGGGGATCAGGTGAGAAACATCTCCCTGGTGCTGTCTTTCTCTCTGCTCCCTGGTCTTTGTTCTTTTCCCACATGACTTGAGCATCCTCTCCTTACAGGGAGAAGGCTGAGGTGCCTCTGTCCTCGCAGTCCCTCAGGTGAGGCCCCTTCAGAGAGCCCACAACAAACCGTTGAAAAGCTCCTACTGTGTGCAAAGCCCTGGGGTCCATGCAGCTTTAATATCACAGAATTAGGGCACTGATGGGGACCTCAGTGACCATCCTGACCAGCCCAGTCCTGAAATGAATCCCCACTTTAATGCGTCCACTGGTGGCTGTCCCTCCTATGCTTGGAGACACCATGTGGTCCCCGCCTGCTTGGAGCTCAGCGCCTAGTGGGGGGAATAAGGCAGTGGCCCAGATGACCACGGGGAGTGTCGGGTAATGGAAAGAGGGCCACGCTCGCACTTGGCAGAGATCCGGGGTCCAGTTCCACCCCTACGCTAATCCCCTCACCAAAGCGCCGTGTCAGTGACGTGTTCTCCAACACCTGAGATCACGTGATAGAGACCATCAGAGATGCGCAGTGAAGCTCCTCGGGGGATCCGGAAAGGCTCCAGGTGGAGGGAGACCCCTCCCTGCACTCGGAGCAGTTTAAGCAAAGGCCTCTCTACTCCTTGGCCAGTTCTGGGACGTGTGCTCCCACCCTGGGGGCAGGAAAACAAGGCCAGGCAGCAGAGGGGAAGGGGGCTCCGAGGCCACCCAGGGAGGGCGTGGCCTTGATCTCCGAGGGGGGGAAGGGAGGGCGCCCGCTGCCTCACAGACCTCCAGAGGGGAGCATGGGCTCTGCAGAGCCAGCATAGCTGAGAGCTGCTTGATATGTAGGTTCTTGCACCTGGAGCTGGGAGAAATGGAAGCTTTTGTTGCTCAGCACAAGACTCAGCCCATCAAGCGGCAGGTATAGGTAGCCCCCCCCCCCTCCTCATGTCCCTCCCGACCTGGCCCTGCTCAGCCCTGGGCAGGTGACTGATGCTTCCTTGGCCACCAGACAGTCATCACGACAATGACCATCCTGAAGAAGAACCTGGCTGACGAAGATGCCGTGTCCTGCCTGGTGCTGGGGACCGAGAACCGGGAGCTCCTAGTGCTGGACCCCGAGGCTTTCACTGTCCTGACGAAGGTCAGCTGGGGGGGCTGGGCCGGGCCCTGTTGCCAGGAAGGGGACCGGGGTGGGGGAGGCTAGGAAGGGCATGGACAGACAGGACAGGAGCCGGGCAGGACCTTGGTGCCTTTCCATCCAGATGAACCTGCCCAGCGTCCCTGTGTTTCTGGAGGTGTCAGGGCAGTTTGACGTGGAATTCTGGCTCACGGCTGCCTGCCGGGACGGTAACATCTACATCCTGAGAAGGTGCCAGGGTTCAAATGGGAATCTGGGAATGCCAGGGCCTAGGAGCTGGTTCTGGGTCCCAGCGTGTGTCCCAGGAGGGGCAGGAGGGAGACTGAGAGCAAAGGTTGGACAAGAGACAGGAAGAAGCGTGGGAGTCGAGGGAGGGTCCTTCCGGCCCAGAAGTCTGATGTCTGTTTTTCCAAAGGGACTGCAAGCGCCCTAAATACTGCATCGAGCTGAACGCCCATCCTGTAGGGCTCGTCCGGATCCACAAGACCCTCGTGGTGGGCAGCACCCAGGACATGCTCCACAGTTTCACCCACAAGGTGCTGACCTCAGGGGCAAAGCTCACTGCTCGTACCCCTGAACATCCTCATGCCGTAACTTGTCTCCCTCCCCCCCGCCCCATGCCCACATTCTCCCCATCATCCCTGATCCCCAGCCTGAGGCTTTCTGACTCCCTGGCTCACTCACAGGGGAAGAAGCTGTGGACGGTGCCCATGCCAGCGCCCATCCTTACAATGAGTCTCCTGGAACAGCGTTCCCGGGGTCTGCAGGCCGTCATGGCAGGACTGGCCAATGGGGGAGATGCGCATCTACCGAGATAAGGCCCTTCTCAACATTATCCGCACTCCTGTGAGTCCTTGAAGTTTGGGGAGTGGGGGATCCCCTTTTGCTGTTGCCCCCTTCTGTGCCCCCAACCTGGGTTTTTCTCCTTATATCTCACATCTGCTATCTCCCCTACTCCTACTGTCCTTTGTGTCTTCCCCCAGGATGCAGTGACCAGCCTCTGCTTTGGCCGCTATGGACGAGAGGATAATACCCTTATCATGACGACTCGAGGTCAGGGGGAGAGCGACCTGGGAGCATGAGGTGGGGGGAAGGGGGTGAGCCCCGTAAAGCGACATTTCTAACCCTCAGATCTGGGCTGATGGGGGAAGGTCACTGCAGCTCTGGCCCTCTCCCTCTCCACTAGGTGGGGGCCTGGTTATCAAGATTCTGAAGCGAACAGCAGTATTTGGGGAAGGGGCTGGAGAGGCAGGTCCCCCCCCAGCCCAAGCCCTGAAGCTCAGCGTGCCTCGAAAGACCAGACTCTATGTGGACCAGACTTTGCGGGAGCGAGAGGCAGGCACCGGTGAGGCTCACGCAGGCATTTTAACCAGGTGTAGGTTTAGGGGAGTCGGGTGCAAGTCCAGCACTCTGCTGGCCCCCACCTGTCTGCCTTCTCCTGACTCCTCCCCTTTTCACCCTTTGCCCATATTCCCACAACCCTCTGGGTCCCATTCACACTCCTCCTAGAATCCCCCTGGAATGGCAGGCAGCCTTGGGCATCCGGATGCCACCCCATCCTCTGGTGCCTCTCCCTTCTGCAGCCATGCACCGAGCCTTCCAGATGGACCTCTACCTGCTCCGGCTGCGGGCAGCTCGCGCCTACGTGCAGGCTCTGGAGTCCAGCTTGAACCCTGTGTCCGCCACCCTCCGGGAGCCCCTCAAGCTACATGCTGTGGTGAACAAGGGAGGGGAAGGAGCTTGGGGGGTGGGCTCGAGGAGAAAGGTCAGTAAAGAATCAGAGCAGGGAGATCTAAGGGCCCCCCCCAAGTCTTCCCCAGCACTTCAGCCCCAAGTCAGGGAGAGGGGGCCCTGGGCCACTGGGCAGGTTTCCCCCAGTGAAGGACTCTGCTGTCTGTGAGCCAGGGCAGTTTGAGGGCTCCTGAAGTACACCCACCAAGACTTGTGGGAGCCACTGAGAGCTCTATCAGTGAAGGCACGCTTAAGGCTGAGGCAACTCGGTCCTAAGTAAGACGAAATGATGCTTAGGGAAGCTCCCAGGGCCCCAAGGAGCAGCTGGGGGCAGAGTGCACACTGAGAAATGCTGTGTGACCTTAAGACAGTTACATACCCTCTCTGAGCCTCTTCTGTAAAATGGGGAAAATCAAGTCTTCCCTGCCTACATTTCTAGGGCATGAGGATCAGACGGGAGAATCGGGTGAGGAGAGTATACTTGGTCATGAATAAAAATTAAAGCAGTAGATTAGTAGATAGAGGGCTGGCTTGGAAGTCAGATCACCACTAATCCGTCCTGGGTTTGTGACCCTGGGCAAGTCACTGAACTTCTGGGTGTGGTCCTAATCTTTAGTGGAGGGAGGTCCTAGAAACCCTACGTTCATCTGTGAGAAGTTTCTGGGGATCGTGACGGTGCTGGCAAGGGTATGGACAGAAATCTATGACATTCAGGTAGATGGAGAGCCTGCTGAGTGGGGCCACCCGGCCGGCGGCGAAGGGGGGCAGTGTCCAAAAGTGGGGGTGGGGTACAAGGACAGAGGGAGGGAAGTCATAAAGAAATCAGCTTGGGTTTTGCTCAAGGAAACACTTCTGGACACCAAGAGCTGCCTCTGGAGGCACTGAGCTCCTCGCCCAGTCCCTGGATGTCTTCAGGCAGGGTGGAGGTCAGCTTGTTGGGGGCATTGTGGGCGTGGCTCGAGGTCCAGATTGGATTCAATGGCCCCAATCAGGAAGAGGATGTGGGATGGTGGCAGAGGTGTCCCACTCGGCCTTCCAGACCCAGTTCTAAGGCTTTGTATCTCCCCCAGGTTCAGGGCCTGGGGCCCACCTTCAGGTTGATCCTTCATCTCCAGAACACCTCTGCTATCCGCCCTGCCTTGGGCCTGCTGGTCTCCTTCCTGTACAATGAGTCCCTCTACGCCCTGCCCCAGGCCTTCTTCAAGGTGGGAGCCTGACCCTCCCACGGGGGGGGGGGGGCCATGAGCCTCCTGACAATGGTTCCCTGCCCCTGCCTTCCTTCTCCAGAGCCCACGGGTGGCCTCCACCTCGAGTTCCCTTTTCTTATGCTTTTGTGAGCCTCTAAGGGCAATCCAAATGGGAGCTACCAGCATCCATAATCTGTCCCCCACCCCAGGTTCCCATGTTGGTACCCGGCCTCAGTTACCCCTTGGAGACCTTTGTGGAGTGTCTCAGTGATAAAGGCATCTCAGACGTCATCAAGGTGGGTCACCCCTGAGGCAGCGGGGACCTCTGCACTCGTCAGAGCAAGCAGAGCTCTGGGCATCGGGTCGTGGGTGGGTCCTAGGAGATGAGACACAGGGTCTCTGAAACGGTGGCTAACTCACCAGCTGCTCTGCCTCCCCTCCCACCTGACCTGAAAATGAGGGGGCTTCTCACCCCCAGGTGCTGGTGCTTCGTGAGGGCCAGAGCGCACCCCTGCTGAGCGCCCACATCAGCATGCCTGTGAGCGAGGGGCTGGTGGCTGCCTGAGCCAGGACTGGCCAAGAGCAAGCAGCAGCTGGGTGCCAACCTTCACGTAGAGGCAGGAAGTGGAGGCCAGCCCTGTGAGGGGGCTTTGGAGGCAGTGGGCAGAGCCTCCCAGCTTACCGCAGCTGCTCTCTGGGACTCCTCCTGGAAGCCACACCTCCCAGAACATCTTCCTCCTCCCCCTAAGGCCTGGCGGCAGGGCTGCTATCATTAAACAAGTTAGGACCCTCCGGGCAGCCTGGCCTCCTCCTCCTCTCTCAGGAGAGCAGCCTCATTAGGAGTCGGAGGCCCCTGGCCCATTTCCAGCTCTCCCTGCCTGTGGGTCCCTTCCCCATTCTGGCCCCCGAGGCCCCTTGCAGCTCCACACAGGTGACCCTGGGATGGCTCCCAAGGGCGCTGGGCCCCCCTGCCTACTGCAGGCGGAGCCTTGTTCCAGCCAAGCCCTATGAGGGAAGTAGAGACTGCAGCAGCAGCTTTTTCCTTAGCCTTGGCCTCAAATAGCAAGTGTTTAGTAAGCTCCTCTGTGTACCAGGCACAGTGCTAAGCACCAGCCCAAGTGAAGAGCCCTGGCTGGAAAGGCTCTGCACCCACCTGCCCACCACTCCTCAGGGATTGAGCCTGAATCAGGCCTCAGCTGAGGGGCCTCTCGTGGACAGAGGGGAGGGAGCAGGGCCCAGCACAGGCCGCCCCCCAGAGGTGAGCCTTCCTCCCTGGAAATATAGAGCTTTACACAGGTAGAATTCAATAAAGCCTTGGCATGCACCAGCAGACGAGGGCGTGTTCTTTGTGAGGGCAGCCGGAGCTCACAGTTGTGTGGTTCTGCGGGCTGCACTGACCCACCATTAATTCTGGGCTCACATCTCCAGGCAGCCAGGGGGCGCCACAGGGCACAGAGTGCTGGGTCTGAAGTCAGGAGGCCACCAGCTGCGTCCCTGGGCAAGTCAGTTAACCCCTCCCAGCCTCAGTTTCCCCATCTGTAAAATGGGGATACCCCCAGCTCCACGCTAGGATCATCTGAGGTATGTATAAAGCAGTTCACAAACCTTAAGTGCTCTCTCCCACAACACCCACCCCAGTGCAGTGAAGAGCCAGGCCCTGGGGTCGACTCTTAGTTCTGCTGCTTATAACCTGTGTGAGCTCAGGCCAGCCCACCACCTTGCAGAGCCTCAGTTTCCTCACCTGTCAGTCAGAGGGCCTCTGAGGGTTCACGGCTCTGCGATCCCAAGTCGACAGTAATCTAGCTCTTGACTGACAACTGTCACCCATGGCCCTGGGATCCCTGTAACCCAACCCCCAGAGCCTCAAGGCTACACAGAGAGGGGTCACTGGGTGGACAGACAGATCTGGGAGAAACCTGGGCAGACCCCGTGAAGAACCTCCTTCCACCACTTCAAACTAGTAAGGCCCATCAGGCCCACAGAGGGATTAAATGGGAATCCAGGCCCCACGTCAGAGAAGCACAAGAGGGGCAGCTGGTGGCACAAATGGACAGAGCAAGGGCCCTGGATTCAGGAGGTCCTAAGTTCAAATTCAGATGTAGACACTTGATATGTGACTATGTGACCCTGGGCAAGTCACTTAACCCCGACTACCTTGCAAGATGAAATTTTAAAAAAAAGAAACGTTAGAGAAATACAAGAGGGGGCCTCTGTGAAGGGGCTGAGGGCCTGCCTGCCCCTCCTCCCTCCCTGCCAGGGGAGCTGGGGGAGGCCCAGTCTCCACCCAACAGAGGCAGGGTGGCAGGTCTCACCCCCCCCACCTCCCTACTCCCCCAAGCTGCCTCTCCACATCCAAGCATAGGGAGGTGGGACCCTGGCTCACTGCAGACCTTGAAGGGGAAGGGCCAGCGGTTACCAAATACCAGCTGGAAAGCCCCTCAGCCCCCAGGGGAGCCTCACCCCTGCCCAACACCCTTCGGAAGTGGGGCCCAGGCTTGACTCTGGTCATACGCCTGACCCCTCTGGGCCTGCTGAATGACCACCATGGTCTGATCCAGGACGGCCAGAGGGGCTCCCACGCAGCAGCAGGCTGGAGGCCAGATCTCTGACGGCAGGAGACAAAACCCCAAGTGACATCAAGACTTTATTGTGGTGGGAAATGGGGCAGGCCCAGCTGGGCCCAATAGGCCCACCCTTGTCATGGCCCCGGGGGAGGGGGGGTCCCCAATGAAGACAGATTCCAAGGGCCAGACAGGGAGAAGGAATGGGAGGGCCCTGCTGGGTGGGGGAGGGGTGGGGGCATTGGAGAATTTGATCCCAAACCTGGAAAGCTGAGGCGGGGGGGGGGGTTGCCTGGCTGCAGCCTTCAATGCTCCTCAGCCCCAAGGGCTCCATCAGTCCATGCTCCTCCTCAGTCTGTGGTTTGGAAAGTGATCCCATCCCCAGGCAGTGGGGAGGACAGGAAGGGCCAGAGCCACACGAGGGCCCAGCGGGAGCCCAGAGCAGCCTGCACGTTCCGCCAGGGGCCCAGGTCATAGAGGCGCTGGCCGTGGGCCCACTCCCGGGTGGTCTGGCCCCGTAGCATCAGCATCCCGTGGAAAAGCAGCCCGGCCCCACAGAGCAGGGCGCCAGCCACACACGTGTCTGCTATAAAGGCCAGGGCAAACTGGGCCAGGGACACGCCACCTGAAGGGAGCAGACGGCAGGGTGACCGCTGGGGAAGGGCCAGCTGGGAGGGGGCCTTCCTGGAGCCCCCGGGGCCCCGCTCCGCCCCACCCCGGCCCAGCCCCCTCACCAGTGAGCAGCATGAGCCAGGGCAGTAGCAGCAGCACCACGGCGTGCAGCTGAGAGTGGGCCCGCAGCAGGGCACCCAGGGCCGGGCTCAGCAGGGCTGTGACGTGCAGCAGGATGCCCGCCCCGTGGAACAGCAGGCACAGGAAGGGCCGGTAATTGCTGAAGCCGACGCAGCGCCCCAGCAGCAGACAGTGGTGGTCCCGTTGGAGGATGCAGACCCTGCAGGCGGGGCAGTGCCCGCTTCGAGGAGGAACCTGGCTCTGGCACTGGTAGCAGTAGCTGCAAGGCAGGGGAAGGCGAGATGAGGCCCCAGCTCCGCCAGCCGACATTCTTGTCCATCCTTCAAGGCCCAGTTCAGATGTCCCCTTCCCTGGGAAGCCTTTTCACGACTCCACTGCAAACCACAAGTCATTTCTTGCTACCATTCCCTAGGACTCTAAGATTCACAAAGCCATTCTCTGGGACTGAGAAGTCCTCGTAGGGAAACTCCCCTCACCAGGGCAGATCTGAGAGCAACCTGGGGTACCTAGGGGCTAGGTGCCCAGGGCCACACAGCCAGCATGTGTCAGAGGCAGAACTCAAACCCAGGTCTTCCTGACTCCAAGGCTGACCCACTATCCTCTCCTGAGGTAGGTAATGCAGTATTATCAGTTCCATTTTACAGATGAGCAAACTGGACCTCTGAGTGGTTCAATATTACACAGTTTGTAAATGTCAGAGAGGACTCGAACCCAGGGTCTCTGGACTCCCAAGCCCAGTACTTTCTCCAGCACCCTCCCCTCTCCCCTCCCACACACCCCAGCACATGATAACTTTGCCATCCCTTGGGGACTGAGGGCACCCCATGTTGGGAGTCAGGTGGCTGCCAGCTGGAAACCCCGCAGCCCGGGTTGCACCCCAGGAGCATGGGCACGAAGGGGACCAGAAGGCACCCTGTACTCCCCTCCTCGGCCCCTGCATCATGGCCTGGGGCGGTCACCTCTCCATCGGCTTCATGATCAACGAGCCAGGAGTCAGGGGAAGGGGCTTCCCCTCTCAAGCAGGCCGGACAAAATGCTGGGCCGGTGCCCAACACATCAGGGGATTAATAAATGTTGATCGGCCTCATTATCACCACCCCGCTGGCCTTTACAGGGTCCCTCCGTATGCATTATCTCATCTGGGCCCAAGGTAATTAATTATTCTCGTCCTTTTACAGATAAAGAAACTGAGGCTAAGCAGGTTAGCCAGCCACTCGCTGATCTGAGCCATCATTTGAACCCAGATCTTCCCGGCCCTCCCCAATTCCCCGGCTGCCTCAAAGCTCCTCCCCCCCCCCCCCGCCCCAGCGCACTTCCTGCTCTGGCTGCCCTTGGCCCAAGGAAGAAGGCACTCCCAGGGAGACTGGCACTGGGCAAGGGGCAGCACTGGAACCCAGGCCTCCCCCCGGGGGCCTGCTCCCCGACCCCGGCGGCCCGGGCGCGCAGGCGCACTCACTCCCAGCCGCCGCCCAGCGCCCGGCCCGCCAGCAGCACGCCGCCGATGCCCGGGTCCCGCAGCACGAAGAGGGCCGCGTTGCCCAGCACGTTGAGCAGCTGGAAGGCGGCCAGCAGCAGGTGCAGCGCCCGCGCCAGGGGGCCCGCGGCCGGCAGCCCCGGCCCGCGCACCAGCACGTAGGCCAGCTCCAGCGCCACGGCGGCCGCCCACAGCGCCGTCAGCAGCAGCGGCAGCGGCAGCCGCGGGCCCCGGCCGCCGCCGCCGCCGCCGCCCACCGCCCACAGGGCGCCCATGGCCCGCAGCCCGCCGTCTCCCGAAGGGCCGCGTCCTGCGGCCGCCGCAGCCGCCAGCGCCTCCACCCCGCCTGACAGCAGCCGCGAAGGGGCGGCGCCGCGCAGACCGGGAGGCCGCGCCAATCAGAGCCCGCGGGGCCGCCGCCCGGCCCAATGAGCGGCGGCCGCCTGCGGAAGCAGCGATCTGATTGGGCGGAGGGATGAGCCAATGAGGCCGTGCGCGAGCTGGGCCCTCCAGCCCAAGCTCCAGCTCCACCCTCGCCTCCCTGAGGCTCCGCCCCCTTGCCGAAGGCCCCCGCCCTCCACACTATGGCCCCGCCCCCTAGGTCACTACCTCTCCAGGCTAGAAAAGATGCCCAAAGATTTGGTCCAGACTCTCCTGGCTCTGGAGGGAGAGGCCTGGGCTCAGATCTCATCCTTGCTACCTGTGGGGCCTTGGGAAAGTGCCCAAGCCTCAGGCTTCTTTCAAGTGCCAACTAACATCGCACCTCCTACAAGATGCCTTTGCACCCCTTCTTAATGCATCCCTTCTGTCCATTCGAGCCTGTCCATATGTTTGTCCGTAGGTGTCTATGTGCTGTCCGGGAGCTCCTCCAGGGCAGGAACTGCCTTCTGGCCTTCTGGGGATCCCCACTGCTTAGCACACCGCACACAGGTGCTTCATAAATGTTTACTGACTTACCTGTAAAGTGAGCTTCCCGAGATCTCCAGCAGCCAGAGAGCTCTGCCCTGATGCTCTCCTAGGCTGCCTTCCAGCTTCCACTTACAACTTCCAGTAGGAGGGAGGCCGCTGCTACTCCCCGGTAGCCTTTGTTCCACTTCTAGATAGTTTGGAATAATTACTAGGATGTAGGACTACAGTATTTCTAAAGGTCTTCAATCTCGCCAATGTGGGCACTCTCCAGGAACATGCAGATGCAAGCCGGGCCTGCCTGCCCATCCTGCCATAGATGCAGTATTCTTCTGGCTGGGGAGAGGAATCTTTCTCCAGATCCCTTAATGTTGCCTACAAGCGAGTGAATCATCCCATCTGTTATCCCATGATCCCTTGTAAAGCGGACACGATACCAGCACCTAGCCTGCAGGGGCGCTGTGAGGATCAAAGGAGCTCTGTGTGAAGCACTTTGCAAATCATAAAATGTCACATAGGTTCTCGCTGTTATAACCCCACGAAGTGAACAACCCAGCCCCTCACTCCACACTGTTTCTATCGGCGTCCTTCAGACCCCCTGCCTGCCAGCCGCACAAGACCTCCGACAACGCCAAGTGCAGCCCCGAACCAGATCATCAGAATTGGAAATCTTGAGCAAACTAAACAAAATGCACGGAAACGCAGATCGTGCTGACACGCGGTTTTCCACATCGCTGTGCAGCCCCCAGGGACTCTTGCATTCAGCGGCCCCGGTTTCTATCTGAATTTGACCGCCGCCTTAGACTGCATCTCAATCAGTGGGTCCAGCACTTCTCTCGTGATTCTTTCTTAGTGATGCGCTGACTCCTCACAGCCACATTGCCCTCGCCCTTTGGCTGGCGGTCAGCTCTAGTCTTCAGACACTGGCAGCCACGCCTACAGCATCACTGGAAGAGGGTTTTGTCTGTTATTTATGCCAGTTCCTCCCGGTTCTTGCCCCCCGGAGCCAAATAGAACAAATCTGACCGGTGTCTGCACGGCGGCCCTTCAGATCAGGGGAGATGGCCGCCGTGATCTCCCCAAGTCTCTTCTCCGGGCTAGACATTCCTCCTTCCTTCAGCTGATCCACGCGGTGTTTGGTAGCCCCATCAGAGTCCACCTCCTCCACGTGGTCTCCAGAATGTCAGCGTCCGTCCTAAAATGTGGCACCCAGAACCAAGCACTATACTCTAGAGTTGGTCTCCCTAGAGCAGGGCTGGGGAACCTGCAGCCTGGAGGCCACATGCGGCCTTCTAGGTCCTCGGGTGCGGCCCTTTGACCGAGTCCAAGTTTTACAGAACAAATGCTTTTGTGAAGGGGATTGTTCTGTGACGTTTGGATTCAGTCAAAGGGCCACACTTGAGGACCTAGAGGCCCCATGTGGCCTCCAGGCTGCAGGTTCCCCACTCTTGCGCTAGAGTGACTAATGGATTGATTGATCGATCCAGCAACAAGCATTTATGAAGCTCCTGCTATGAGCCAGGCACACTCTTTCTTCCCTAGTTGGATGAAGTTAAATAGCATGTCAGCTCCTTAGGGACCAAGATTGTCGTGTTTCTGTATCCCTGGTGCCCAGCCCAGCAGAGGCGTCTGGAAGAGACCTCAGTGGCTACCAGGTCCAGCCCCTTCCCTTTACAGAAGAGCAAACAGGTTAGCTGTGTCACACAGCTAACGCTCACCCGAGGGAGCAGATGGCGTCAGGTCTTTTTGACTCACTGCAGCCCCTGGCTGATGCCCTTCTTAATGCAGACTACCTCTTTTGGCCACCCTGGCCTGTTGGGGGCTTGTTTCCAGCTCTCAGCTCACTAAAACATGCAGACTTTTCTTAGAGGATTCACTTCTTGCCACCCATCCTCCAACGTGTCCTTGTTTGACACCAGTTCTTAGATTTTACCTTTCCCTCTGTTACAGTTCCTCTTAGTCGATTCAGTCCACCATCCAAGCCTGTGGAGATCCTGGGCATCCTCCTCCTTAGCCACCCTTTCTTGTTTTCTCTCACCTGCAAAACTGATAACTGTGTTATCTATGCCTTCATCCAGGTCAGTGATTTTTAAAAGTTCACAGATCCCTATGGCACTCCACTGGAGACCTCCTTCCAAACTGACACTGGACTGACCATTAAGGGCTCTTCTTTGGGCTTCAGCAGTCCTAGACCACCAGCCAGTTCCAGTTCCACCCAACTGTGCTGTGCTGTAGCTGCCAGCTCCTCATCTAATTTGTCTACAAAGTATCTTAAGAAACCTTATCAAATGTTTTGCTAAAATTCGGATAACCTGAAACAAAGTCTTCCCCTGATCTGTTGAATTGGTGACCCTGTCAAAAAAAAAAATGGGTACATCTGGCCTGCCTGGTGCACGCTTTGTAATCACTGCTTCCTTTTCTAGACTTCACCAGTCATCTCTTCAATGATTTTGTCAGGAATGGATGCCATGCTCACTGGTCTCCAGTTTGGAGACTCTGCTTTGAAAATGGGGGTGCCATTTGTTCATTTCCAGTCCTGCCGGACTTCTCCCTTCTGAACAGTCTGTCAAAGGTCACTCAGCATTCTCATCGGCCGAATGTGTCCGTCCTTTGGGCTGAGATGGAGGTGTACTGAGGGCAGCTATATATATGCTGTCACTAGGGTCCTTTGTCTGAGAGCTTAGCCCACCTCTCATTCCCCCCAGAGGCAGAGGGGATGGAATTGCAACCGAGTGCAGGCCTTCCCTATCTCAGCACATTCCCTGGGTTGCTAGCCCCAAGCCAGAGCAGTATTTATAGCCCCCACTGCATCCAGCTGGCTCTGCAGTCATCCCCAGGATTAGCGCCCGGGCTCTGGCTTTCCACACCTTCCCAGACATTTGGGCCCCTCCTTGGTACAGCAAAAAAAGCAAAACCCACCCAAAGCATTTCCGTATGCCTCGATTTTTCCGTCCAAGAAATGGGTTGATGGGTTATTTCCCCACACACACTCCCAGCTCAGATGTGTGAAGGAAAAGGGATTAAGCAACGCCTAGCCAAGGTGAGAGAGCCCCAACCCCAGGGCTTCCTTGGACCAATGATCTCAAAACACTTTTGAGGACACTGGACCCCCAAACATTTTCGAAGTATTTCTGGGCTTGGGAAGGGGAGAATCTGCCTCCCGGTTTTGCCCTTTCCCCTCCGCCCGTCACCTGCCTTAGACCCAGACATCCTCGCTCCCTCCCTTCCCCAACTTCTGTTGGCCCCTCCCTCATTTCCAAATTTAGCTGGAACCTGATCCGAGCTCTGGGAGATATTTATGGGGGCTGCCGTCGAGGGCCCAGGGGCCGGGCCGAGCCAGGGCAGAACCACAGGACGTGGGCATGATGATGGTGCTACAGCCCGAGGGTCTGGGCGAGGGCCAGGGTCCCTATCGGGGCGGGGAATACATGGAACAGGAGGAGGACTGGGACCGAGACCTGCTCCTGGACCCCGCCTGGGAGAAGCAACAGCGGAAGGTGAGGGGCACGGGCACAGGGGCTGGGACCCGGGCCTCGGGGGTTCTTGCGAGAGAGAATGGGGGGCCCGGGAGCGGGCCCAGGACAGCATTCAGGTAACAGGGACCATCCCTCCACTCTGAAGGGCATTCACAAGCCTGCCTCTGCACAGTGGGACAGGACTGCCTACCTTCCCCTCTTAAGGGCAAGCGCCAGGCTTTACTTTTCAAGGAGTTAGTTCTCCAATACCTGTAGAGGAACCCTATGGGGCGGGGCTGTAAGGAGGGGGAGGGCTAGAGAAGTTGGAGGATGCCTCCTCCCTCCAAGAGGTTAAATCTACCCCTCTGCCTCACCCTTGAAGGTGTCTGACTTGGCAATCACGTCCCACCCCCAGCCTGGAATGGGGGGGGGGGCAAGGAGAAGAGAAAGAGCTCAGAGCTCAGCTCAAGAACCATGCCCCAAGCCCTGGTGACCTGCCAGACCCACCCAGAGCCCCCACTGCTGTTTCACCAGAGCCTCCTTCTGCTTTTCTCCTGGCCAGGGCCTGGGGTGGCCCAGGGATTAGAGGAAGAGAGAAGGAGGCAGCACCTTAGAACACTGGATGTAGAATGGCAGAGCTGGGGGGGGGGGTCCTTAGGGACAGACCATTTAGTCCAAACTCCTCATTCTACGATGGGGAAACTGAGGTTCAGAGAGAAGTGTTCTAGGCCACATGTCTAGTCAGTGGCAGAGCCAGGGCTAAAACTCAGATTCCCCTGACTCAGAAGCCACACCCTCTTTCTAGGACCAACCTCGCCCCGATCCAGGACCCCAGCTTCCAGCTCTCAGGGCTCCCTATCCAGGGCTGGGGAGGGGAGGCATTAGGTCTCCCAGAAGTAGAGGCTGAGGGGGAGGGGATACCCGGGTCTCCTTACCGAGTAACCTGACCCTCTGGCCAGATGGACACTTTCTGCTGAGGCAGCGACTTGGGGGAGCC